CAGGGGAGTTGAGTCCATTGATACTTAATGTTATTATTGAAAAGTGTGTATTTTGTACTGTCATTTTAATTTCTTTGTGTTTGTGTCCCTATTTTGTGTTTCTGTTGTTATGTCTTTATTTTCTTTCTGTAACCTCTTGGACATACTCATTATTTCTTCAGTCCTTTGTATTGCTTCAAGTATTCTCTGTAGTTCTGGTTTGGAAGTCATGAATTCCTTCAGACTATTTGTGTCATGGAAAATTTTCTGATCCCCTTTGACTTGATAGTTTTGGTGGATAAAGTATTTGGGGTTGTTTAGAACTGGGAATACTTTGTTTCAAGCTATTCTGACTTTCATAGTTTGAAAAGTCAGCTGTTATTCTGATTGGTTTTCCTTTATATGTAGCTTGCTGTTTTTCTCTTGCAGCATTCAGTACCCTCTCTTTGTTCTGTACATTTATTTTTTTTACTATGATATGCCATGGGTAGTTTTTGTCTTGATCACATCTTAATGGTGTTCTCTGGGCTCCCTGTATCTCTATAGGCATATCTTTCCTTAATTTAGGGAACTTTTCTTCTATAAGTCTATTGAAGATCTGTTCGATGTCATTGTTTTGACTTTCTTCTCCTTCCTGTATGCCTATCTAATATGTAGATTTGGTCGTTTCATGTTGTCCCACATTTCCTGAGTATTCCATTCCTTTTTTTAAAATTTTGCATAGTCTTTGCTTATGGATTCCAGATCATCAACTTTATCCTACAGTCTTGATATTCTGTTTTCCATTTCACTCATTCTGCTTGTGAGACATTCTCCTGTTGTTTCTAATTGGTTTATTGAGTATTTCAGTCCTGTGTTCATTTCCATTTGGGTTTTCTTTATTATTTATATCTCTTTAGTGAATTTGCTTTTCAAGGCATGAATTGTTTTTGATATTTAATTAAGCTACATATTTGTATATTCTTGGCCTTCTGTTAAATATTTATGCTTTTTCTCTTTGAATTCTCTGAGTTTTTGTCTGTGTTTTCTTGAAGTTCTTTCATCAGGTTTATGATTGTTCTTTTGAATTCTGCATCCTGGTGTTCTACATGGTAGTTTCCAATGCTGTGCACTTCTGTAGTACTCATGGGTTTTGTTGGGGACCTATTTTCCTGGTTTTTCATATTGTTTTTTTTTTTTTTTTGCAGTGCTGTTTGGGCATATGGATGTTCTTTGTTGGTTATATGTTCAACAGGAACTTCTACTCTCCTTTTGTTTAATTTAATTTTGGTTCTGTTAATATTGTTTACATGATTTAGCTATTTTGTGTTTATGTATGAAAGACAAACTGGTGGGTATTTCAAGTTCTTGCTGGGTAGCAGACTGGTCAGAGTTCTGACTGAACAGGCTGGTCTGCCTGATTGGGGTGCTGGGAAGTTGGAGGAGAGGAGACTATCTGGGTGAGTGCTTAGGGGCCTATGGTTGGGTTTTTAGTTAATCTGGTTTGGGAAAGCAGTCCTGGGACCTGAGGTAAAGGAATTGGAGTCTGCCTGTGTGAGAGGCTGGCAGGGTACAGGGTGGGGGGTGTATGAGAGAAATGAGGTAGAGAAGCAGTGAGCTGGATCTGACTTACCAGAGTCTTGGCTGAGCAGGTCTGTCTGCATGATCCAGAAGCTAGGAAGTTGTGATTTAATATTTTAACAAGAGGGAAACAACTGCAATGGGAAGCCAGACTAGAAATATAAGAAATAAATGAAAAAGTGTTAAAACAGTTAAATCAATAAAAACAGGGAAAGTATATTGTCTTTACTTTGTTTCAGGTGGTACATTACCAGTCTAGGGATACTGTTGGATGCATTTTCTCAGGCAATTAAAGAATTAAAAGACAGGAAAAATTCAGACCAGCAGGCTTCAAGAGTCAAACAAACATTTGTTGAAAGATAATGAATCACATCCATAGAGATACATACATCAGACATGCATACACACTTCATACAGAAAGATAAAGTTCTCCATAAGAGGTGAGGGGTGTCGAAAACTGAAATCTAGTGTTCTCCACTGAAGGCCCTGGGTTTTAATGTTTCAGTATTATCCCCTCCCTAATTTTGGATTAGTTAACTTAAATAAAGAACTGGGTTCTTATAGGCTTGTTTTATAGGTTCTAAATGGTAAGCTATACAGGTCTATGTGACTTGAAATAGATCAGTTGACAGGGCCCTGTTGGAATAAAAAATAAGGCATTTTTGCCAGAGTCAAAGAAGAAGCTTGGAGTGTGACATGTTTATAACTTCTCAGTGACCCTGTCAGGGTCACTTACAATTTCATCAAAATTAAATACAGATAGAGTCAAGATGTTTTGTAGCCAAAAATGTTTTAGTGTTGTGAAAAGATGGGCATGAGCCACAAGTTGTAAATTTTGCTTCATACCAACATCAGTTACCAGAAGTCTTAATAAACCAGAATCATGCCATTCTGTAGAAACAAAGAATACTAAGTTTGAGACCAATACACCTGGAAGGATTCTAAAGCACAGGACTGCTACCTAAGCTTCAAATGGAGACTGATGGTTCAATGCCTTCCAGTTTATAAGTGGTTCATACCATAGAATTAGTTCACTCAACAACCCCCTTTTAATGAAGACATTTAAACAGCAATGTTATGTACATTGTAGAAAGGGATATAATGAAGAAAATTTCCTATAACTTTTCAGCTGTATGGTTATAAATTTATTCATATAAAATTGATCATGAATTATCCAACAGGATACAATCATGTATATCTCCTTATACTGAGGTGTATAAAAAGGAAAGTTTGAAGTGAGAAAATTACAGAAAAACCTAATCCTTTACCTCCCATTTGTCCTTTTATACCACTTCCTCCTTCTCCTGTTTGTCCTCACCTGTGTGTTCCCCTTATCTTTCTTCACTTCCATCTCTTTTCCACTTTGGGCAATTTCTGCTTTATTTTCTCTTCCTCTTATTCTTTCTCTTGTTCATTTGCCCCCATCCAGTCTCCTCCTCCTCCTCCTCCTCCTCCTCCTCCTCTTCCTCCTCCTCCCTCTTTTCCTCTTCTTCCTCTTAGCTCCTGCTGAGGGTGGCACAAAGACTTCCACTCACACAGAAAGAAGCACCAAGAGAGTGTGGCATTAATTAAACCTGATTTCAAATATTATCTTGATTTTTTTTCAATAGCAAATGTGTCTGTGGCTAATAGCAATTCTAATAGCAAATATGTGGATAGTTGCATTCTAGCCAATGCTGTTTTGGTTTTCAGAACTAGCAAATATCAATCACCACCAGTGAAGACTGTTTTACCCTACATGAGTTTGTGTTAGTCTTCACAGATGTGAGTCATAGTGTTGTATAGAACTGATGACATTACCACTCCTGAGAAGATACATGCTAGGGAAAGAGTCAGTGCATCTGGATAGTGAGCACAGATGAAAATAGGAGGTTCTGCAACTGAACTAGTCAAAATGGCCAAATTCTACAGACATCTTATCAGAGAACTCTTTAAGGGGACTTTTCAAGCCCTCATAATATTAAAGATTCATGTTGGATGCCTAGAGGGAGCTCCCAGAAAACAGGGTCTGGAAATTTTCCTCCTGGAGGTTGGCTTCTTTCTGAGGTATCCCGGGATTTGCATCCTTGTTCACTTTGTGAGCCTTCTGGCCCTGACACACTGGACTTGGGTACACGCAAGAACCTACTTGACTAATTTAACTTTCCTTGAATACAGGGTCTTCAGACTAGTGTCATTGGCTGTGGAGCTAGAGACAGGGAGTTGGCTGCTTCAGCTGTTTTGAGACTTTATGTGGTATAGGTGAGAGTTAACCCAGTAGGAGAGGGATACAGTCAGGACTCTTATGGGAACCCTGGAGTCCCAGGTGGTGTCAAAGCCATGAAGTAAAGCAGAAAGGATAAGGGAGGCTGCATTTCCCAGAATTGGGCTTGAAGAGTGGAGCTTCTGGAGTTGGGGCTGGAGGCTACTGCTGCAAAACCTAGCAGCTCTGAGGATAAGGGAGTTGGAGACAGAGCTGTAGAAAATGAAGAGAGTAGGGATAAGGGGCAGGTGGGGGGAGTTGAGGAGAGAGGAGGAGGAGGAGGAAGTCCATGGATACAGTAAGACTAACAAGAGAGGAGGTGGTTGCAGGCTGCTGAGGCCCAGGCAGTGGCTGGGAGGTTGAGAAACACTGACCCACGGATATCTTATTTTATCTTCATGAGAAAAAACAGTGGGGTGCCAATGGTACAATGATTGTGTTTTTAAAAGTATCGTAAGTACTACACAAGGTTTGCCTATACATCCTTGACAAATTGCAGATTCATTAGAGAAAATGAATGCAAACAGACCCTGAACAGGAGTCTGGGGCAAAGGGAGAGAAGAAGGTGAGCTGAAACCTTTACCTTTATCCACACAATGTGGCATTCTGCACAGCAGTTTGTATTTATGTACCCACTGGCACCATTTCTGAAATCATGAGAGTTCTAGGATTTCACCAAGGCCCTGTGAATTCTGCTGGCAACTGGTAGGCAGTCCTTTGAATGAGGAATGTAACAGGAGAGAGACAGAAACATAGACCCCTTTTCATAGCATTTTCTTGGAGACTCACTTTCCAATCTCCACTTAGTCTTCTCTCATCCAGACCTTGTCCAAAGGACTGCTTTCCCATGGTTCAGCTGTGCCTTCGGGAAACGACCCCAGCAGTCATGAACCTGTTGATATCTATTGAAACACAGGTGTGTTTTCCTGCTCAGATGAGACTGGAAGAATCTTGCACATGGGCACTAGGCCCCGTGCCATCATGGAAACTTGGCGGGAGTGGGGGTGGGGAGGGAAGTCTGAGGTGTGTGGTCTTGTGCAAGTGCTCAGTGATGTTTACCACTGTTGCTAGGCAACTTGGAGTCTGTCAACTGCATCCATGTTTCTCAGATTCTGTGCTTCTTGGCAATTACTTTGATTTTCCCCATTTAATATTGCATCTAGGGCCCACGAAAAGTCTAAGGGTCAAGAAAAGGCATTTGAGGCATGTACCTTCAGCCATGAAGAAGATTCTGGGCCATGGGTTTAAGGAAAGGACACCCTTGGTCTTCTGCAGTGTCCCACGAAGGAACTTTGTGGACATTTTGCGTGATATGAAAAGCCTTTCTGTTCCAGATGAACCAAGATACAAACCTCTCATAAAGATTCACAAGGCCGCAAAGGAAGGGGATGTGGAGAGAACTGAGAGAATGATCAGGTTTGGGAAATACAGCGTGCATGACAGGGACAAGATGCAAAGTAATAGGGCCTGTGAGCTAGTAGCCAGGGGCAGGGAGGGATGAGGGCTCACAAGGAGGATATGCTATGTTCCCCATCGTGTCCAAGGACCATGGTGGGGGAACCACAAGAAGGAACTGCCTTCTCTGTGCGCTCTATCTCCTTATATTCAGTGCCTGCAAAGGCCCAGGCCTGCTTTCAGAATGAAAACTGAACCCATGTTTCAATTGCTTTCCAGTACCCCCATGATTTTTCCCTCTACAGCAATTTGTGCATGATTTACAATGAATTCATCTCACAAAATGAGTTCACCTGGCCTTCTGTCTTTAGTGAACTTGTCAAAAAGTCATGCTGCATGCACTGCAGAAACGTGCATTATGAGGAATTTCCTAAAACCTTTCAGCTTCATGCATAAGAACTATTGAGTTACACCTGAAAACCAACTTTATATATGGATGCTCCACCAATGTAATTTATTATATAATATATATTAGTTAATATATAACAGAGTATATGACATAATCTATAATATGTAATATTAAATGCACAATATACAGTGTATACTTATTCATTTATTTTTACTGAGGGCCATTATGTGGACTCTTTCAACCTGAAACAAAACAGCATCATGTCCTTCAGCTTTCCTTCTTAATTCCCCTCCTCTGTCTTCATTCAATTTATACACACTTTTTTCCCTATGACTTTCTCTCTTCTCCCTTACTCTTTTAGTGTGTGTGTTCAATAAACTTTATTTTACACATAATTATTTATTCATGTCAAACAAAACAAAGTCATAATCTGTTTTATTCACAGCCTTGTAACATGGTATAGCACTGATTCATCTCATTATTACAGGCCAAAATAATGTAGTAGTATATACATTAATAGTAATTCCACTCAGTAATAAAATCCAAGTAGTGTTATACATAGAAATTTTCTCTCCATCGATGACATAGACTATCGTTTTAATAGCAAGAGGGCTGTTAATATTTATCAGATTCTGACCTTTGAAATCTCATATTCATAATTTCAATGATCTCTTAAGTGTAAGTTTTGTTTTCAGAGATCTCCTTTGCCTTTTTTGTACAGCACTGGCAGCAGTACTATTGTTTTATATGTTCAAGTTGTGTGTCTTACACAAAAATTTGTGTTTTCTTTCACATATGTCATATTATATGTTATCATTTGGTGTTTATTTAGACCTTATATTTATGATTTGTAACACATATATTTGAAGAGAAATGAGTAAATTTTTGTGTTGGGAGGGATTGCAAGTGTTTATGTGTGTATGTACATTTTAGTGTATGTATGTGTGTTTGTCCATGCATGTCTGTGTGCGTGTGTGTATGTACATTTGTGTATATATGTGTGTTTTGTGTGTCTGTATGTATTTGTATGATGTGTGTAAGTATATATACATACACATATATATGTATGTGTATGTGAATTATGTAAGGAAGATCTGCCTTTATCAAGTGACAGTGAGGCACCATCTTATTGGCTAAGGGCCTGAAGAGAGCAAGTAAATTCTGTCTTTTGGAGCTGGTGCACTTTACTTCTCATGGACATCAGAACAGCAGGTCTCCAGATTGGGACTCTGGGATACTCTGGGACATTTATCATTTATCATGGGGACAAGCTACCCACCTCCAACTCTATTTTCTGACATTAAATGATGAAATGTCTTTGCCATTTGGGGATAGCAGGAGTGAAACCCCTAACCAATTCCTTCTCTTCTGTCCATCTTTGAATCATTATATGTTTTCCTTCGTTTTATTGGTTTGTTTTTTTGTAGAACTCTGACTCAGACAGATTCGTTGGCATCATAAATTGTCTTAGGGAAAACACTATGCTACTTTTGTAATTCTAATAATGTAGGTATTTGTAGTGAATTAGGTAATGACTGTTGGAATAGCCCCATCTCAGGTTTGCAATCAGTAAAGTCACCACCTTGATAGAAAATAGAAACTGATGGTTAGAAGATCTAGAATACATCATGAATCCTTAACCCAGTGACTCTAAGATTCTTTAGTACCTTGTTTGCAATATCTGTAACCGGTAGACTCTGGTCTTTCTTTAGAAGTATAGACAGGTACCCATATGGCAGCTAACAACTGTCCGTAACTACCAGTTTTAGGGGATCAAACAGCCTCTTCTGTCCTCCGTGGGAATTGCACTACATGAGTGCACTTACCTACATGCAGGCAATACATGCATACACATAAAATAAATACATAAATAAGAAATAAACAAATAAACAAACAAACAAATAAATAAATAAACTTAAACAGTGTATGCCCAAGCATCTTCTTTACAATAAGTCTTACTTTTTGGGAAACTGTCATTTTCTCCATGAACACACACTCTCTCTCAGACATTGGAAACCTCAGGTACCCATTGTGGAAAGCTAAGATTATGTGTTCTTTTTCTCTGTATGGACTATGGAGCCACTGGGACTGCGGGCCACTTAATAGTCTTACTGATCCGGCATAATAAGAGTGTACACACAAAGAAATGGCAGTACCAAAGTCTTGTTGTAAAAGGACCCTCCTGTTATTTTGTTCTTGCTTTCTTATAAATTCCTGAATTATTTTCTTTAGAAGCATCCTTTGAGAAACTGATCAGAATACTGAACTAACCATTTGCTATTTATACAGAATTGCACCAAGAAAGTGTGTAATGGCATCTGAAAAAAATTGCAAGCTTATTGATTCAATCAAACTTGGCAAACCTCTTTGATTTCTTGCTCATATTTCCTTTTCTGTTCTTTTTCCTCCTCTCCCTTCCCTCATCTGCTCCAACATCTCTTCTTCCTCCTCCTGTTTCTCCTTTTCCCCTACTTCCACCTATGATCCTCCTCCTCCTTTATGTTATCACTTATTATTTTATATTAATTTCTGTAAATTGTTATTTTTACTTATTTGATTCAACACCTTTCTCCTGTGCTTTTTACTCTTCCTGTATTTCTGAAGTGTTACTGAATTTCAGATTGTTCATTGGTGAATCATTTTGAGTGTTATTTTTTAAATGAATGTTTTTTAACTTGCATTAGTTTACTTATTTTTCAGTGTTTTAATTCAAAGCTCACCTTCTTCATTTCTTTTTAATATCTTTTTCAGACATATTGCAGTCTGATACCTGGAGAGAAAGTTCCTGATGCAAAATTATAAATTCTCAGTGTCTAGTATCAGTTTCTATTATGATCCATTTGTGTTTCTATGCCATTTTGTTTTGGGTACTGGTCTTGTTTCCTGCATAGCCACCAACTGCCCTCAACCTATGATGTTCCCCCTTTCACCTGGCTGTGCCCAAATGTGCTTGGAAATTTGCAAGGCCTTGTTTAAATGGTACCAAGCATTACAGGGTGGGACATAGGTTCTGGAAATTTGATCTTTTCTTAAAGAAAAACTGTGTGTGTGTGTGTGTGTGTGTGTGTGTGTGTGTGTGTGTGTGTGTGTCTGTCTGTCTGTCTGTCTGTCTGTGTCTGTGTCTCTGTGAGTGAATACCACATGCATGTGGGTTTCTGCAGAGGCAAGAAGAGGACATTTGATTCTTTTGAGTTGGAGTTACAGAAGATTGTGAGAACCTGATGTGGGTGCTTGACATTGAACTTAGGTCATCTGGAAGAGCAGCAAATGCTCTTAAACATTGAGTCATCTTTCCAGCCCTTAACAATGTTTTCTTGAATATGATGATTCACTATTCCCAAATTAGAGTTCTGTGTTGAAAACGTTGCATGAAAAATTTCACCTGTGTAAGTTGGACATGCTTTCCTCTACTGCTATGGTGACAGTAAGACAAAACTTGTAGTCAGTATATCTTGTATTCTAGGTATCAGAATATGTCATTAATTTTCACAGTGTGTTATTTGTTTTTCTGTTACTATGATAAACACAACAAACAAAAGCAATTTACAGAAAAAAAAATATTTATTTGGGCTTTGGTTCTAGAGAGCACGTCCATAATGGTGGGGAAGGCAGGGCAGCAGTTGGCTGGAGCAGGAAGCTGAAAGATCTCATTTTCAAATGCAAACACATATCAGGCAGCAAACTGGAAGTGGGGCAAGGCTCAGAACTCTCAAATCCAGCCCCCGGTGACATACTACCTCCAGCAAGTCACCTCCTAAAATTCCCCAAACAGTACCACTAACTTGAGAAATGATATTCAAATACCTGATCCTATGAGGTATATTTCTCATTCAAACTACCATATTCTACTCCCTGGCCCCTGTATGTTCATGGCTATATCATCATATAAAATGCATTTAGTCCAACTTGAAAAGTCCCTATAGTCTTTAACATTCTCAACACTGTTCAGAGCTTCACAATCTCTTTTGATACTCAAGACAATTTCTTGAGTATAACCCACTGTAAAAAAAAAAAAAAGGAAGAAAAGAAAATTACATTCTTCCAACATACCATGGCACAGAATGCATAGTCTCAATACAAAAGGAAGGAAGGGGGATACAGTGAGGAAATGTAAGACCAAAGCCAGCAAGGCAAACACCAATTCTTGTAGCTCCATGTCCTATGTCCTGGATTTTAGTTTCAAAGGACTTAGATGGCTCTGTCCCTCCAGCTTTTCTGCCTGTGGTATGCATCTCTCTCTTGGTCTGGTTCCACTTCATGTATGCAACTCTCCTTGGCAAGCATCTCATGGCATTGGCATCTCCAACATCTTAAGGTCTCCACTGTCACCAGGTTTTACTTTCACAACTTCACACATCAGCTTCTCACAGCCTTCTTGCTTCTTGGGACCTTCACGCAGAAATTCCCCTGCCATATGTAGCCTAGCCTCAGTGGTTCTCTGAAACCAAGGAGGAAGAGTCCATGACTCCTTCACTTTTGCACCTTTCATGTTTCTAAAGACTATATCATGTGGACAACACTGACAAGTTCTCTTGCCAGCTTGGGTAGACCCTCACCACTTTAACAATATTAGTAGCACCTTTTCTATGTTGAAGCAATTGCTTTCTAGGAGCAACAGACATGGTAGGCTTTCTCCTTTCATAAGATGGGAGCTTAGCTGGTGGGGTTCTTGCCCATTGTTCCAGTGCAGAGTGATGGGCTTCTCCTTAAAGGCACCAATCACATTACCAATTACAGTCTCTCCGCATATGCCTTGATTGTAATATTAGGCTTCTTAGTACTCTTGTTTTTTTTATTTATTTTAAAATTTTATTTATTATTTTCATTTCATGTGTATGAGTGTATTGCTTATGTAAGTGCATCCACATCATGCAATGCCAGCAGAGGTCAGAAGAGGCATCGAACTCCCATGGAACTAGAGTTACAGACCATTGTTAGCTACCATATGAGTGCTGGGAATTGAACCTAGGTCCTCTGCAAGAACAGCAAGTGTTCTTAAGTGCTGAGCCATCTCTCCAGCCCCTCGTTTTCTTTCTATCCTGAGTTTTATATTTCTTTCTGTCCCCTTTGTTCTTTTACATTTAAGAATTACATAATTATTTTAATTAATAACTATCAATAATCAATATTATGCTGTCTTAAAATTTTCTTTGTGAAAGGTCATTACTTTTTAACTTAGCCTCAGGAAGAAAAATTAAAGGGCAGCTAATGTTTACATTTACAGGAATAATTGAGGATTTTGAGATAATGCTCTATAATTTCATTATGTCATTTTTACAGGACTGCTCTGCATTTTGCCTGTGCCTATGGCTATGAACAGGTAGTGACTCTCCTGTTGTATAACAATTGCGAGATTGACGCTCTCAACAGGAACTTCGTGACACCTCTGATGAAGGTAGATTATAGTCATCCATTGCTGCATAAGATAGATAGGATTTAAATGCTTCTAATAGAAAATTTCCCCATCTACATGTAACTCCTTGGTGAACCCTATGTGTTGCTTATCTCGAATTCATTGGCTTGTAAATCTCATTTTTGATATAATACCCACAAGGCTGTACAAAGTTGGACATATGGATGTGTGACTACTCTGCTAAAACACGGCGCTGATCCAAACCATAAGGATAGTTATGGGAATAGTGGACTCCATTATGCCATCTCTGAAGACAACCAAACCCTTGCTGGAATGCTACTTAAATACTTAAATGCTGACATTGAACAACAGAACAAGGTACAGTTCACACTGCATTAATTCCAAAATATCTGAAATACACGTGTGGTCACAGTACCAAAGTAGCCAGAGCTATCTTCTTAGGTTAGAATGAAAAAAACTTTCTTATAACTTAATTGTTTGACAATGTGACCTCAAATATTTGTACTTTGAAAGAAGTATTAGTGTGTGATTTCTATGCTTTCAAGACAGATATTTGAGAAAGCACTGAATTTGTTAAAAAGTAAAACTTGTTTGAGGAAAATCACCTCTCCTTCATCTAGCAGCAATCAGTTGCCAACATTGCTGCAGATAAGACTGGGGTCTGATGTTAATTTTCCTAGTTCTATGCTAACACAAGGGATTCTATATAGGCTAACTAGAATTAGCGGATGGACTTGCACTGGAGAATGGTTGGGGACACTGACAACCTAGTGGGGCTTAGCAGGGATGACCAAGCATATGGGCTCCAGCAGGTGGGGCAGGGTATTGGGAGGGTGCCAGGGCAGATGGGGGTATAAAGATGATTACGATTGTTTGAGCTGTTCTGTATGAAATACACAAAAAATTCAATAAATTTAATTTTTTCCTTTTTATGTATTTTTCACTATGTTTCTTTTGTAAGGTAAAATAACTGAAAAGCAAAATATGTTTTACTAAAAAAATTTTAATGCTTAAACAAAATAATTTATAACAAATTTAAATCCTGTTCTTATTGACTTCAAGTAATGTATCTCTCAATGTTAAGACCAAAGACACAAAGAAGGAAGCAGAAGCCGCTCAGAAATACATAGGCCCATCTGGAAATTAGGCGAATATGCAAAGACTTACTGTTTTAAATTTGGGTTTGTGGGACTGAAGAGTTTGCTCAGTGGTTAAATGCACTGGCAGCTCTTGCAGAGGACCTGGGTTTGATTCCCGACATCCACATTGTGGCTAATGATTTTTGAATAACTCCAGTTCCAGGGAATCCAATGCCCAGTTCTGGCATTCATGAACATTGCTCACCTGCTTTTTCAGCTACAAAAATGCAGACAAAACAATCAATTAAAATAAAAATAAACTTGGAAACTGAAAACAAATAAGTAAAATATAAATTTATGTGTATTGATACAGTGCTTCTCAGTTTAGGTAGCAGAAATTCTTGGTGAAAGTTACAGAAATGCAGATAGATCAATTTTAGGAGAACTCTTGAGAAAATCAGGCTGGAATGAATAGGTGAAGATGTGGAAAAGCAGAGAAAAGATCAGAGAATATACTGGCATGGTTTCCTTTTTCAGACAAATAGTTACTGCTTACATATAAACTTAAATTCTGTTCTCAAATCTACAATGCCATAGATACTGAGTTTCATTTTTGTATATCCAAGTAAAGCTTTGGATTAGAGTTTTTTCCTCCCTATTATACTCCTAACCAGGAAAATTAAAAAAAAAAAAAGTTTTTAATGCAGAGTCCTTTTGCTTTTAGTCAAGCAACCAAATAATGAGGATCAGAAATAAGACTGAGGCCAGGCGTAGTGGCCCACACTTTTAATCCTACCACTTGGGTGGCAGAGGCAGGTGGATCTCTGTGAGATCAGTGCCAGCAAGGTCTACATAGAGTTCCAGGCCAACTATGGCTATAGGCAGACCTTGTTTCAAAAAGAAAAACAAACAAATAGAAAAAAAGAAATGAGATTGAAGATATACTCGGTGCTTCTGTATGCTCAACTATAACAATGCATCTTCAATGGCCTTAGGAGAGAGTTGGAAATCTATAACACAAGAATAGTTTCTCTGAAGAGTTTGAATCCTGTAAATCTAATTAGTCATGTGCAAAGACATTTACAAAAATATTTTCTTAAGATTCTCAAATAACTCATATATTACAAACACTAAATATGTTGCTAACAGGCCTACCTCTTCAGAGGGGGGAACGTTGGAGGGGAGGGAGTGGGCATGGATTTGATCAAAATGCCTTATATACATGTATGAAATTCTCAATAAAGTTTTTGTAAAAATTGAAAAAAAAATCCCACAAAATATGTCTATTCTCAGATCTGAAAATCATCAGACATCTTTAACAGATGTCATTTGACTACACACTATTTCTCTCAATGTGCCATTTCCAAGAATCATAACTAATTTCCATACTGTTTTCATGTTTGGTAAGAAAACGTAGTATTAGTGATCTGATTACTTTCATAGTAAATCTCTTTCATTCAAGACAGCAATAATTCACTACTTTTTAAAAATTATTTATTTAATAGCCACATGATTAGAATAAGCATTTCATTACAGTATTAACATATTCAATAACAATTTCCAGAGCAAAGATACATCTCATTCAAAAGTGGCTGTAAATTTTTAGGTTCACAGTTGAATTAATACAGTTATATAATATGGAACTCAATATAAACCCTATAAAGATATAAAATTTAATGTGGTTTTAACATTTAAAAAAGATCTCCAGATCTCCATTTCATTTTAAAATATACTGTTTTATACAAACTCATTTAAAAATATTTTATTATTTTTATTTTATGTGTATGAGAGTATTGCCTGCATGTATGTGAGTGCATGTGTGTCATGCAATGCCATGGAGGTCAGAAGAAGGCTTCGGATTCCCCTCAACTGGAGTTAAGAATGGTTTATAGCTGCCATGTGGGTGCTGGGAATTGAATGTGGGTCTTCTGCAATATTAGTCAGTGCTCTTAACTGCTGAATAATCTCTCCAGCCCAAGACAAACTCCTTTCTAATGCTACTAACACTTAGATGTTTGCATATGCATCTCTAATCTCTATGTGTCTGATTATTGCTAGTCACAGTTGGTTACACTCAGATTCTTGGCACCTGAATACAGTGGTAATGTTTTTCATCTCTACTAATTAACATGAATCAAATTTTTATGCTTCTTCCTCAAATATAACTTTTTTTATTTGTTGATTTGTGTGTGTGTGTATTTCATACAGAACAACCCAAACAATCTTATTCATCTATATACCCACTTCCCAAATGGCACCCTCCCATAACTTCCCCCCATCCCTCTGAAGTTCAGATACTCTGTCATCCCTGTTACTGTCCACTGTGTTGTCTGTACCCGAGCTGTTCCCCAGTGCTTGTCCATTCTCTGAATCTAGTCAGCCTATCTAGAGTTCCTTATTTTAGGAAGATCAGCTCTTCCTCATCTACAGCAATCAGTTGCTATTCGTTTAGATAAGATTGGGGTCTGCTATTCAGTTTCTCAGTTCTATGCTGGGTTACTATCTGTGAGTTTCTTGGGCCAACCTGGCCAAAAACTCAAAGGAAGGTATCTCCTGTCTGGCATTGTTTCTTGGTATGCAGCCTTTAGCTATACACACAGACTCTTAAAAAATTATATTGACCCCTTTTAATCTTTGGGTATACTTTCCTTTTGGCTATTTAAGACCATACAATTGGCCCAGATAAACCAATTTACTTTACTCTTAAGGCAGCTTGAGGATCTGTTCCTCAGGTGTCACATGGTCTTGTGAGGAGCTCCTGGCTCCTTTCTTTTACCAGTTCCATCTATGTGAAGATAAGTCAAAGGTCCTGCTCAAACATGGCTAGCTTTGCTTGGAAGCATGGAGGAAATGTTTCCTCTGTGTTGACCCTCCTCTTTGAAGACTGGACACTGGTTAAAGTCCATTTGATGGGGTCTCCATGGCCTCCTTGATCGAGAGCACAGGTGACTAACCATAGATACAGGACATATTGAGAGATGTTCATATTCCCCTAGAACTTAGTTGATGTAGGAGATGATTTAGGTCCCTTTGGCCAAATTAGTATAGGCTTCAAAGTATGGCTGTTAAACATCCGAGTTTATTTCCACCAGCCTTGTACTTTTAGTTACCATGTGCCATGGACATAAAGCTTAGGCAAAGACCAAACATTCTTAGATAAACCTTGCCTAGATATATATTATATTCCTTGAGCTATTTGTATGTATAATTTGTCAGTAGGTTATTCGATTAATATGGCTCATTTTTTTTAAACTAGCTGGGCATTATGTATCTTCCTCCATGGCTTCCCCATTTAAAGTATCCCCATTTCCCCCATTTCTCCCTTAATAATACCCTTCTCCTATGGTCCCACCTCTCTTGAGCTCCTTCTTTCCCTTTAGCCCCAAAATTCATTGTATAACTTTTCCTTCCCCCTCCACTTAAAATAACCCCATTTTTATCCATATCTCCCTCATTAATGTCTGTTTCCTACTGTTCTTCTCTTTCAGATTCTTTTCCTTTACCCTCCCTGGTTCCTTTTCATTATCCTGGTTCCTGTAGTTATGTCTGAATATGTACTCACTTATCAGAATTTGATGCTAGGATCACATAAGCAGGTGAACATAACTACATAACATCTGGGGTATTTTTGCTCTTGTTTTTTGTTTTTGTTGCTGTTGTTGTTTTTTCTTGAGTCTGAGTTATGTCCAGTTAGTATAACAGTTTCTAGTTCCATCCATTTACCTACCAATTTCATGATTTCATCTTTCTTTACTGCTGAGTAAACTCTATCATATAAATGAATCATATTTTCATTATCCACTCGTCAGTTGAGGGATGTGGTCATCAGCTGTGGCTGCTCTCCTCCTGCTTTGGCCGCTCTCCTGCTCTCTTAGTTCCCCCGATCAGTTGTCTGGTCGGGACCCTAGGGCTGGTGAGGAGACTGTGTCAGCAGAGCTGCATTCAGACACAGGAGACCAGGTTCAGTGACACAGATCTGGTTTATTGCAGGAAGGCACAAGCTTATATAAGGGTAGTGGTCCAATCACAGCACAGCAAGCAGTTTAAAGGTGTGGTATCCAAGGGTGGTGCACAGTACAGTAAGTAGTTTAAAGGTGAGGTATCCAAGGGTGGTGATTAGGGAGTGGCGAGCTCTAGGCATCAGTCTCATGATCTGCCAATGCGAGCAAAATGTCACAAGGCATTCCTTGTGACTCCAGCAGTCGGGCCGTTGCCTCAGGCCTGCTGTATGGCTGTCAATAAGACTTTCACCCTAGGAGCCTTTCCCCCAAGGCTCAAGCCTGTCTCCCACATCTCCCCCTTTTTTTATTTTTAAAGGTGAGGTATAGTTTAGAATACATAACATATTGATATCAGTCCAGATACATTTAGGCAAAGTACAATGGCTCAGGGCGTCATTGTACCAAGAGCCCCCTCCCTCAAGATGGTGAGCTTCCTTGAGAGCAGGCTGGGCCAACTCCATGCCAACCAGTGGGATTCGAGGTTCTTTGCCTTGGCATTGTTGTCCCCACTTCAAGGGTCACCCAGCATTATGGATTTTGCCTGTCTTAGGTTGGCTCATCTTTTGGGATCTTACCTGTCATTGACTACCACCCCTCAAAGGGTGAGTCCCTTGGTATGGTCCAGGAGAGGGAGAGGCAGTTTATCAAGCTTTGGCCCATGCAAGGGACTGTTAAGGGGCTAAGAATTCAGTAAAAGCCGATGGAGTGGGGTCGTCCCTTCTGGGGTAACGATGGTGATTAGGGAGTGGCAATTTCTAGGCATCAGTCTCACAGTCTGCCAACAGGAGTATATATCGCAAGGCATTTCCTGTGGCTCTGGCAGTCGGGCTGTTGTCTCAGGTCCATTGCATGGTGGTTTTGTAAGATTTTACACCTATGCTCAAGCCTAATTTTCATATCTCTATGTTGGTAAGGGCAAGGAACAGCAGGTCCTTGTTTGTAGAGACATGCCTGGCAAGATGTGGAGGTTGGGCAAGAGCTAACTAAACCAGAGAAATATGAGTTTTAACAAAATTATCAAGACCTTAACAATGCAGGGTTCAAAAATCAGGAGTTAGCAGTAATGATGGCACACATAGGTGCACTGCTTCCTCCAGGGTCTGCCATCTCCAGGGTCGGTGGTTGTGTTCGGAGGTTTTCCATCACAGGCAAATCTGATGTTCTGGGCTGGGTTCCAGATGGGGGCTGGAAGATTATCTGGAAAGACACAAGCATAGCCTTGCCCTTGTGTTAATAATAGGTGTGGACCTTTCCATTCACTTATGAGAGGGTCCTTCCATCTCACCATGGGAGCAGGAGTGGGCTGAGTGAATGCCCCCCCCCAATGCTTTACTGCTGGTGGGAGGCCATTGGAGTCAAATTTTAGAAAATTTAATACAAATAGAGCTCGTTGTATAACAAAATTGGGGTCCTTATAGCAGGGTCCTTTATCATTGTCTTTCCCTATTTTCTGTATTTTTTTAACGAGTGTTTGTTGGGAACTTTCAACAATCCCTTGACCCTGAGGATTGTAAGGGATACCAGTCATATGCCTAATATTCCAGTCAAAGCAAAAATGGCTGAAGATAGCAGAATAATAATTGCACACTCTTTGGGAATAGTGGTAGGGTGAGGCATTCCTATTTCAAGGGTCCCTAAAGGCTTCATTTGCCCATTAATAGCCCTTTGATCATGTAAAAGTCACCACTTTCCTGATCTCTTTAGTATAACAAAATGGGAGAATGATGAGGACTAAGTGAGGGCTCAATGTGACCCAAGGATAACTGTTCCTGGACCAAGGAGATCAAATGAGCTAATTTATGTGAAGGAAGAGGCCACTGCTCCACCCATATGGGAGCTTTAGTGTCCCACGTTAGTTTGATGGGGGGGGTAGCTTGGTGAGTGAAGCAGTGGCCATTAGAATTGGGGGTGAGGGTGGGGGGCATTAACTAACTGCTGGTCTACAATACGGTCATCATAAAAGGCTTTGCC